AGTAGCCGCTTCACCGCAGCCCGATGATCCTCTTTGGGATCCTCCATGAAGCGATTGAGCGTAGCCCACGGCGAACGCAATGTCCGCCTTGTGTGGACTAGGTAGCGCTTGAACCGCCGACGATGCTCGGTAGAGTGTTGCATCTACTTTTCGCCGTGGTCTTTGTCCTTCGTCGCCCGGCCGCTCCTCGATCGGAGTCACGCATGGCTTGCACTCCACCATGCCGCTCCTCTCCAACAGCTTGGAGGCATACGCGCTTTGCCTGAGCGTGAGTTCCTCCTTCCCCTGTCTTACCTCGATGCCGAGGTAGTAGGAGAGAGCGCCGAGATCGCTCATTCGGAAACGAGCTGCCATCTCTCGCTTGAAGCTGTTGATATCCTCCGTGCACGCGCCGGTGACGATTAAGTCATCCACATACACGCCGACCACGAGTTCTTCCTTCCCCCGTCGTCGCGTGTAAAGCGCGTGCTCGGTTGCGCACCTCTAAAACCCAAGCTCGCCCAGCGTGGTGTCAAGCTTGGCGTTCCATGCTCGAGGGGCTTGCCTCAGCCCATAGAGCGCTTTGCGCAGTCGGAGCACCCTGTGCTCCTCTCCCTTGACGGCGAACCCTGGAGGTTGCCTGACGAAGACCGTTTCCGCCAGCTCGTCGTTGAGTAAGGCCGATTTAACGTCCAAGTGATGGACGCGCCAGTCCTTTGCTGCCGCCAAAGCAAGTAGCAAACGGATCGACTCCATGCACGCTACTGGTGCAAAGACCTCCTCGAAGTCGATGCCCTCGCGCTGGACAAAGCCTCGGGCGACGAGGCGTGCCTTGTACTTGACAATGGCGCCGAGCTCGTCCCTTTTGACTTTGTACACCCACTTCAGGCTGATCGGACGGCATCCTGGGGGTGGATTGACGAGCTGCCAAGTCTCATTTTCCTCGATCGCCTTCATCTCCTCCAGCATTGCCCATCGCCAGTTTCCATCGTGCTTGGCTAGCGCGAACGTGGGTGGTTCTGCGCGATCGACGAGTAGCAGCTCTGCGTCGTTGAGCAGCACCGCCGCCATACACGAGGGACTGTCTGCCGCCGGCGATGTCGTCGACTGCGAAACCTCAACTCCTCACCTTCGTGGTAGGCGTCCACGAACTCAGTGATGTCACTTGGAGGTGAGGCGAACTCGATCGGGGGTGATGGAGTTCCTTCTTTCACCGGAGTGCCCTGCATAGCACCTGAAGTGCTCGGCACTGCTTCTGGACTGCTCGTCATAACTCCTGCAGTGTTCGGCCACACTGTAGGAGTGCCCAGCCTCAGTCTTGGAGTGGTCGAAACCACAGTAAGACGTCTTGGCTCCACCACGGGAGTGCTCGGCACCTGTCCTAAAGTGGTCGCCGCCACTGTAGAACCTCCTGGCTCCACTCCTGGCGTGCTCGGCATTCCTCCAGAAGTGCTCGACACTCCTCCCAGAGTGCTCAGCATCCCTCCTAAAGTGCTCGGCACTGCCCCAGAAGTGCTCGACTCTACCGCCGGAGTGCTCGGCGCTCCTCCCGGAGTGCGTGACACCTGTTCCGCAGCGTCTCCACCGCCGTGGATGACCAAGTGCTCGACGACGAAGGTGTTGGTGAAGCCTCCCGCTTCCCCCGTGCTCGGACTGTGCTAGTCCCAAGCTGCCTCCTCATTGAACACAACGTCGCGCGAGACAGTCACCTTGTCTCCGCGTGGGTCATAGAGCCGGTATGCCTTGGTACCCTCCGCGTAAACCAGGAACACCATGGGTGTGCTCCTGTCCTCCAGCTTGGTGAGGTTCGGCTTCGTCTTCCTGACGTGGCCGATGCAACTGAATGTCCGGAGGAATGACACGTTCGGCTTGCTCCCGTACCAAGCTTCGAACGGCGTCTTGCCCGTTAGGGCTTTGGTTGGAGCGCGGTTGAGGATGAACACCGCCGTGGTCACCGCCTCTCCCCAGAACTTTGTCGGCATCCCTTTGGCCTTCATCATGGATCAGGCCATGCCGACCACTGTCTGGTTCCGTCGCTCCACCACGTCATTCTATTGTGGCGAGTACGGCGTGGTGTGATGTTGCCCCACACCTTGATCTGCGCAGTACGTAGCAAACTCCACCGAAGTGAATTCGCCACCCCGATCAGTCCTCAGTACACGGAGCTTCTTGCCGCTCTCGGCCTCCACGCGCGTCTTGAACTTCTTGATCGCCACTACCGCTTCGTCCTTGCTCGTCAGGAGTTGCAGCCACATATAGCGACTGCAATTGTCCACGAGTAGGAGGAAGTACCGCCAACCACCGCATGTAGCAGGCGTGATCGGCCCGCAGAGGTCGCCGTGAACTAGCTCGAGAGCTTCCTTCGCGCGATACTTGGCCGCCTTTGGGAAAGGTAGCCTCCTCGCTTCCCGGCCAGTACATCACACGGCTTCGCCTCCGTGCTTGATGTGGGGTAGCCCTCGGACCATCTTCCCACCGACCAAGCGCATCGAAGTCGAGATGTCCGAACCGGGCATGCCACATCCACAGTTCCTCGGAGTGCCTTGCGCGCGAGCAAACCGGCCGCTCTACCTTGGTCGGCGGTACAACCGGTTCGAGGACCTCTTCACCTTGGCGAGAAGTCGGCTGCTCACGGTCTCTAGATCCTCGAACGCCGTCCTTGATTAGAACTCGCTACCGCGCTCATCCGGTGACCAATGCCTGATGATGCGGAACGCAATGCTGCGGATGTAGTATACATCCGTTAGCGCGCGGTGCTTCCCGTTCTGGCATCTGAAGATGATGGTGCCGCGCCCTTGGATAGCCACCCTTGAGCCGTCACCAAACTTCACCATACCGGTAACATCACCGTCGAGCTCGGAGAAGGAGTCCTTGGAGCCCGTCATGTGGTTACTGGCACCAGAGTCCAGATACCATCGCTGCTCCTGGTCGACGCCCACATGCCCAAGATGGACTTGGGCGCGTGGTTCGTCAAGGTTGACGGTCTTCAGGGCCTTGCTAGATCCTTCCACCGTCGTCGCCTCTTCCCTCTCCATGGCCTCGACGTCGTCCAGTGTACAGAACGTCGCCATAAGGATAGTGGCCTCATCCTCATCATCGGCTTTCGCCAGGTGAGCTTGAGCCTTCTTTTCCTTCTTGCGATTTGGGCACTCCCGTGCCCAATGGCCCATCTTCCCACAACACCGACAGGCGTTGGAGTCGATTTGCTTCTTCTCCGAAGAAGCCCTGCCGCGATGTTTGTCGTTGCCACGCTTGACCGGAGGAGGCTGCCTTCCGAGAGTTTCACCGAGCAGCCCCACCTCTTCCATCGCCAGGAGTTTCCCGGTGTCCTTCATTCTTTGTTGCTGCTCCAGCGCTTCGTCCACCGCCCGCAGACGATTACGCCACATCCTCGATGGTGAGGGTGGATAAGTCCAAAGATCGTCTCTATGGAGAGAGCGATCTGGATGTACTTTTGCCAAGACGGAGTGGAGGAATTTGGAGACCGCCTCCTCTTCGTCGATGGTGACGCCATGGCTCTTCAACGTCTTGATGAGCGTCTGCAGCGGAGGAAAAGTCCTCCACCGTTTCACCATCCTTGAACTTGAGGTTTGCGTACTCACGCGCGCGTAAGCCGGGCCGTGCCTTCTTCTTTGTGCGGGTCGAGAACGGACGCGCATTGCCGCAATGGCCTCCCATGCCTCCTTAGTTGAGCTTTTTCGTCCCCAACGGTTCCTCTGTACTCCATGACACAGCGGCGAGGATAGCCTCCAAGCGCCGACATGTCGTCTTCTTCCACGTCGGTGCCCTTATCAATAGCATTCCAGAGCCGCCGGGCTCGAGCTTGACCTTCATGGTCACCGACCACTCTCCATAGTTAGTGCGAGTCAGCGTCGGCCAAGTGGTGCCGTTGACCTCCCGCACCGTCTGCGGACAACTACCTCCGGTAGTGGTGGGCAGCGACTATGATGAAGTACCGCCATCGCCCAACTCCAAACCGCATGTCCTCGCCATCGGTTAGAATGACGACGGCGCTTGTACGGCTCTGATACCACTTGTTGGCCCACGGGATCACCGTCTGACGATAGTGAACTAGTCTCCAGACCACTAGTCTCAGACCACTAGTCTCCCAGACCAGACCACTAGTCTCCTAGACCACTAGTCTTCCAGACCAGACCACTAGTCTTCCTAGACCACTAGTCTTTCAGACCAGACCACTAGTCTTCCTAGACCACTAGTCTCCCAGACCACTAGTCTCCTAGACCAGACCACTAGTGTTCCCAGACCACTATACCGATTGTGTCCGTACCCACACACTATGGATTGAGCTAGAAGAAGAAGGGAGAACAGAGCAAGCACGCACAATACAAGACAACAACGTTGGCCGATGCCCTGTCTGTGTTATGGCAAATCTAAGCTCTCTTTACTGAGTTACCTTGGTACCCTATTTATACAACTCTATCTATCTAACTAAAGTACAGCGCACATACTGTAACAGTAACTAGATAAGCATACAGGGTTGACTCTGCGCCGGCCACTGCATGTGCCTACAGTGCCGCAGGTGAGCCATGCGGCGTCTGCACCTACATCGGCTACTATATTACAGCAGGGGCAAAGTCGGCGCCGCCTTCCTCTGTTGTGTTTCACACAAGGTGGCAGTAGATTAGCTAACAGTCAGAATCTTCCTAATCTCCCTGCTCACAGTCTGCATTGGAATTGAATGCATGAATTGTTAACATATCCTAATCTACTGCAATCCTAGCAAGACAGTTGTTATCTAGGGAACATGTCTCAACACATGAAGCAGTACCTCTCTCTGTGTGATCAGCTGACTGGCATTGTATTGAGCAACCACAGCTTTGAGTGTTTCATGAATGATTGAAAGCATAACTCTCTCATTGAAGTTCTCCCCCAGGTTCCTGTAGATTTTAGGTAGCTGATCTGGCATGGGTCGAGTAAGAACACGAAGACCAATTCTCACCTGACCAAGTTTCTAACCTAGTATACGAAAAAACCTAAGTCCAAGAACATTTAATTCAAGCTCATATCTGCAAATGAGATTTGTCAATAAATAATTCACTAACTAAAGAGAGCATACTTGACAGTTTCTAACCTAGTATATGAAAACCATCAATCCTGTAAGACCATACCCCTTTTGCCAATTGGAAACAAGCACTGTATGCTATGATGAACACACAATTGCAAGTGATTTGTATGAACTACTCTAGTAGTTACGATATTCTCTGAACTAAGAATCAAAAGACATGAACTTGCAGCAGCGAGAAACCAACCTGGGTAACTCCTACGCCGGGTAAAGTGCGTGAGAAGCGCGCAATGAGGTCAGCCGCGAGGGGCGCGCCGCCGCAGTTCACCGCCAAGAGCGTGGCCACGTGGGCGGCAGCGCCCTCGTCCGCTTCCTCGGCGGTGCGCACGATGGCCAGCAGCACCGGCGGCGCCAGCGCGAGGCGCGTGACGCCGAACCTGCCCATCGTAGATAGCACCGCGGCGGTGTCGAACCTGCCCCTGGTCGTGTGCAGCACGCCAGCACTAGCGTCGGTGTCGGCGCCGGCGCCTCCTCCTCATGGCGCGCTTGGATATAGGTTTCATGGCCCCCATCCTCTCCTGCCTCCTCTTGCTCCACCATGGACGAACGCCGAGGGCGGCGCCCGAGCGGAGTACGGCGAGGAGGAGGGCGACGCCCGAGCGGATGACGGCGAGGAGGAACGAGGGGTAGGGGTGGCCCGTTGCCCTGCGCCCGGCCTCCTCCCATCGGCGACGGCGGCGATGGAACCCTAGAAGAAGTAAACAACATATTCATTTAACTAACTATACTAATTGTATTATCTATCCTAATTATATTACTCAAAACATTATTTTTGCATTTATAGAGTTACCGTTTTACCCTTTATTAAAAAAAACTACGAGAATGGAATTACCGCCCAGTCCTAATCCCCACATTTGCGGAGGCAATGGAAGGCGATATTTGTGCATATGGCCCACCGATCATAGACACAACAATCGCCTCCCGTCCCGTTGCCTCCTACCTTTGTTGCCGTCGGATTGGCCGCTCTCGGTCGATGTCAGCCATCAAATTTTTTCTCAATTATTGTAAAAAATTTCTATTATTATACACCTAAAAGATAGGAAGCGCTTTCGTCTAACGCGTCTTCGTGCGCGCGCCTGCCCGCCCGACGGTCGATCGGTGTTTCCTCCCTACGGAAACAAAAAAAAAATACCATCGATCTCCACTAAGTATACGGAAACAAAAAAAAGCGAGGTGGAAAAATCGTGCCTAGACTTGACTCGGAGACTTGTATCGGCAGGGAGAAGATAAGATTTACGGAAACAGAAAAAAAAATGCCATCGATCTCCACCAGAATACGGAAACAGGAAAAAAAAACGCAAGGTGGAAAAATCACGCCTAGACTCGACTTGAATCGTATCTGCAGGGAGAAGACAAGATTTATATACGGAACAAAAACATAGCAGAAGACGTGCCCCGCCTTGGGGCAAAAAAAAAACGAGAAACACAGCGGAATATATGCTAAAAAATATGAAAACAAAAAAAAAAGAAGCAATCTCATCACTGCAACCACCACCACACAAGCCCCATCATCGATCGGTGCTCCAGTCCATCGACGGTACGTTTTATAGTTTTCGTCTAGGGCTTGCAGTGCAACAATCTATGCACGCACGCACAGATCATCTCATCCACTCTCATATCTTCTCGTAAACTCGTGTCTATGCTGTATCACAGGAACATTCGGCTCGACACCATAACTGATGTTACACACTGAACACAAGTACTAATATAAGTACCATGACATAATTTATTGTTTCCGTGATCCCGGTGCAACGCACGGGTATTTATAATTTATCTAATAAGCATAAAAATAAGCTAGCATCTCCGAGTCCGAGATGTGAACGCAGTTAGGTCGCCGGAGAAGGGACGTCAGTCGTCTTTGTTTTCTCCCGTGTCCCAGCTTATCATAAAGTACTCCACTGTGCGCATCTGGCCATGTGGGTAGTGCACATCATCATGTGTGGTGTGTGCTTGCTGACTCGAGACTCGAGTTAGTTGTGTTGCTGGTTCGTGGTTTGTTCCAAGAATCCCTCCGAATGCATCTGTGCCTATTTGTATTTGATGATGAAGATTAATTCTAAATTTGCCTCTGGAGACCATGCATTTCATGCCAAATTAAATAATTGTACCATGAATATTCTCCTATCTCCCGTCCAACTAAGGGCATGTTTGTTTACCCCTACTAAAGTTTAGCTACTAAACTTTAATCACTTTAGTTACTAAACTGCCAAACAAATAGATTAAAAAGGTCTAAAGTAGCTTAGTCACATTAGTCATTCAAGGGTAGCTAAACGTGAGCTAAAGTGCCCAGTGAACAAGGATATTGCCCCTCATTATTGCGCGTCCCCTATCCTGATTTGGACATTCATTAGGAATAGTTTGGTGTTTGTTGAACGGCTTTAATGGTCTTTAGTCACTTTTAGTCAAACAGGGGTGACTAAAGTTTAGTTATTAGTTTTAGTAGCTAAATTTTAGTCGAGGGAAACTAAACAGGCCCTAATAATTTTGTGTAATTTATGGTCCTCTCGACACACATGCGTAATAAATTGTTTTTTGGGATGTTGTATGTACAGCCAGCTGTTTTGCATCAAGGCACAACTGCACAAGCATCTCTTAGATAATCCTAGCAGAAGGGACTCATCTCTGTTTCTTCCACGTGCAGACGGGCCAGGCCCCTTTGCTCCGGCCTTCGCTTGCCTCGACCTTCGGAGAAAGCACGCCCCACATTTAAATTTCCCCGCCGATCAATAGGCCCACGGTCAGACCTCCCGTTGGGCCGCTCAAACCTCATGGCGGCCCAGTAGCTACCTAGGCTAGCCCAGGTGTCGCCAGCCAACCAGGAGACCTATACTCCAGTGTGGGCTTCCTCACAAAGGTTTAGTTTAAGTTAGCATTTAGTTTAAGTTACATTTTTCAAATCATTTCACAAAGGTTTTCAAACCCATTTTCAAACTGCCACTAGTTGAGCACTTGTATCATATGCAGAAGCCATCTCCCCTCCATGACTTTCATTGCTTGCTCAACCTAGTGTTGTGTGGACTAAATACCTTCTCATCTCACATGAAATACTTTAGTCCACCTAAGGTTGTTAGTCAATTATCAAAACTAAACAGAGACTTTCAATGGGCAAAGAAGCAATTTTGGCATTGGATGACTGGTGCCATGTCTAGTTGCTCCTTCATGCCACACCGGATCGAGGGATGAGGTGTCGACTAGGAGCTTCCTGTACAACGTTGCATGCTTCGGTTTGTGATTTTACTTCGAGCATGCGGTCGTGCCATCACTTCCCGAGATCATAAGATCGTTGTCTCTATGGTAATTAACCTAGTTCGAGTGGAGGAGGGGCATTTTTGCATAAATTGCGTGACAAAGACAGTTCCTCGTGGCGCGTTGCAGAATCTTAAGTTAAAAAAAACTTAGGACCCGTTTGGTACAACTCTGCTTTACTAGTGGAGTACCTTTTTTGGATTGGACTCCATAAAAAACTTTACTAGTGGAGCTGAAGCTATTTTAGAACACGTTTTTATAGTACAGATGCATGAAATCAAGGATCGGGAGAAAGATCGAGAGAGAGAGAGAGAGAGAGAGAGAGAGAGTAGATGTATAGTGCTGGTTTTCTTTATGGTTGGATTTAAGACTAATGGCTACTATTCATCGCTTGAAAAAAACTTTAAAATTAGGCATATGAGAAATAGCAGCTCCCATTTTAGAAAAACGTTTAGTAAAATAAATTTTTATAGTAAATATGAGAGACGGAGAGAGCGGGTAGAAGCTACTCTTTTCAGCTCCACCTGCTACCCTCGACTTGTCTCATCATATTTCTTGGGACTCCAAGCGTTGAGAAGCTAGCCTTTCACCCGTTTGGTAGATTCGGAGGCAAAACAGCCCCCAGGTGCTATCTCGGAATCTATAACGCTAATGCTCTCATGAGGGTGTCTAGAGGGACGGACGCGGCTTCCCCACTCGGTACCGCTCTCGTTCGTGCCCCTTACGAAAAACCAATGTCTCTACTGTGCTTCTTCTCCATCGCGCCGCTTGCCTACACCTCGCATCCGCGCGCCGCGGGCGCCTCAACCGTGCTGCCCGCTAGCCGCGGCCGCCTCCACCGAGCCGGCGAGCCTCCACAATGGATGCTCCAGCAAGCAGGTGAGAGGAGGAGCTTCCTGTGACGCCACACCGCCGGCGAGTTGCCCGCGCCGCTGCCACACCGGCGAGCTCCATTCACTACCGCCGACCTCTGCGCCGACGTTGAGCTCTGCAATGACGAGCCTCCATTCGTCCAAGCAGCAAGGTGGCATTACGCTGAAAAGCGCATGTTGCGAGCGTATGTTTCAAGTATTTCAAATATTTTAGATGTATGTTGCAAGTGTTTCATATGGATGTTGCAAAAGTAGATCGGGATGTTGCACATGTAGCAATGGCTATACACGTTTATTGCAAATGCATGTTCCAAATGTTTCATCTGTTTTGCAGACATATGTTTGCAAGTATTTCGTCTTGATGTTGTATATGTTTTACACAAATGTTGTAAGAATTTTTATCTAAATATTGCATATGTTTTGCAATGACTTTTTAAGTTTTCTCAGGTGTTTTTGCAAGTGTTTCAGATGTATGTTTCAAGTGTCTCATCTGTCTAAGACATATGCTACAAATGTTTCATTTGGATATTTCAGAAGTAGATCGGGTGTTGTACATATTGTAATAGCGCTGGTAGCTGTCCACCACCTTCTTCCCCTTGTCTGCGAACTCCTTGACCAGTGCCACGGCCCTGTCGAGCTCTGGTGCCCGGCCTCCTAGGACGACATAGTCGAAGGGGATGGCAGCGTGGCCTCCCAAGACGACGTACTCGAGGGAGATGGTGGCGCGGCCTCCTGAAACGACGCAGTCGAGCGGGATGGCGGTGCGGGTGCGGGAAGCGGAGGGAGCACGGGTTCGCATGAAATGGATCAGCATGCGCCACCGTCCGGACGTGGGCATCTATCCGGACGTCCGGACGCTAGCCACACCAAGTCTACAGGGAACGCTGCCTTTGGTCGGAGAAGCAATGGATTTAGTTAACTTTTTGAGAAAAATGAGTTTAGTTAACTTTTTTTTAGAAACATGAATTTAGTTAACTGGTGATGTCCATTCGGTTAGGGATCACGTCCTGACTGGACCTATAAGCCCATGCGCACAAACACTGCCATCGCCGCATGGGCCAGCTATTTACAAGGCCTTTGGCCCAAGAACATTTATTTTCACCATCGAATTTTCCCTCCTTTACTCCTTTGCAATGCAACGCTTGTTCCAGGTCTTGACAGAATGACAGGACGTCAAGGGTGACTCCCGTTTGGACGCATGGGCAATGATGGACACGCCTGTATTTGTTGGGAGCTGTTATGAACCTCCACTACCAAATCACATGTA